ACTTTGTGCAATCACACAATGGTATTTATGAACAGAAACCATATTTACCTTATTGAAAACTTCAAGCACCTGGTACTGCTGGTGCTCATGGCGACGGTAATCATTTACTACCTAGTTGAGCCGCAAGCTCGTTTGTCCTCTATGCTATTAAAAAGACAGTGAAATACAAGATACATGTCATCTTAATCCTCAGCACGGTGACGCATGACTAGTATTACGGGTGTCACATGATAAAAATTAGGAAACTTAGTCCGTAATATCGTTTATGCATATAGGCGATGCTTACAATTTACGATCAGCTAAATAAAAAGTCTACAGCCGAAGGGCGCAAATAAAACAAAAAATAGTATATATTAAATTTAATTAAAAATTTCAATTTTACAATCCTAATGTACTAATAGCGGGCCACTTGGCCGATGTTAGAACCAAGAGTGATTCACATCCTGTTGCGTTCTTTGGACGATTTGGACATTCATGTTCTGCTGACTCGGCTGCATTTTTCGGTGCATGGTGCGATGTGCTGTATATCTATACAGATGTGCTGTATATCTATACAGCATTTGTACTATCTTATGATTTCATAACGAGCTTGCTTGCAAATCCGGTGGAATTGAAAAAAAATCAAAGTATTATGATTTATGGATGATGATGGAGTTCCAGTTTATGACATTTTTGAGCTCCCGTGTACGAGGCAATAATTTACAAGTTTGGCAACCCTGGTGGAGACTTAAGAAACACTTGGGGAAAATTAAAAATTTGCAAATTCAATTGACGATTTAGAAGTAAAAAAAGTCAACTTTGCGAGAAAATTGTTTAAATTGTTTTTTTGCTCCCCTAAATATTGTTTAATTGGCATCAGTTTGGAGACGATAGCGCCCGGCGTCATTTGTTCAGATAAAGGATTTTCAATATATTGAATATGTTATACTATATCCTTGTATATATAATGACGACCCGGGTGGTCTAGCGGTTTGGTACACTGCTATACTTCCGATAGTTGCGGTTTCGATTCCTCGCGTGGTAGAAACATTTGCATTTATGATTATGATTCTTTGTGCCAATCTGGGTGTTTTCTGTGTATGATGTGTTATTTTTTGTAGTGGCCATTTGTATAATAAACAAACTGTGAAAAACTCCCGTGTTTTAGCAGTATTTACAAAAAATCTAGTATTTATATCAATTGTCTAGTACCCATAACACTAGCTCTGCTTACCTTGGGACTGGATAGTGTTAGTATTATTATATCGTTATCTCGCTAATTCTCGATTACCGATTTTGATGATTATTTTTGCAATCGATACATTTTTATTAGAATTTAATTTTGCTGTCTTAAAACAAAATATATCTACTTATTTTACTTAAATTACAATACATACATACAATAAAAAAATCATTGTTACACTAAGGGTGATACAAATATTTCATGAGAGATTTAATTAAAAGCTTAATCGAATTCCACGAAGTCCGGGCTAATAAGGCGATAGCCAGTCAACAAACCGGCGGCCACGTTATTCACAGCTGTCAATTAGGCGCCCCATTAATTAATGTTTATTGTGCAAAACAATAGATAATAAGGCCACAAGATAACTTTTGTTCTTCAAACATGCTTATTTATGTCAATGTTTACCAGAAGCGTGCGAAATGGTGTCGGTACGGAACAGTCAGGGTTGCCAACCTTCAATCTTACTAATATTATGAACTTGCTACTCGCCCCGGTATCGCACGGGTGTACATGTCTAATATATATAACCTTCCTCTTGAATCACTCTATATGTTAAAAAAAACCGCTACAAAATCGTTTTAAAGATTTAAGGTTACATAGGAACAGACAGCGACTGCGATTTTGTTTTATACCGAAAGTTTGTGAGTATAGATGGATGTTTGTTACTCTTTCACGCAAAAACTACTGAACGGATTTTGTTGAACCTTTACAGTAACATAGCTTATACATCAGAATAACACATAGGCTATAATTTAAAAAGATATAATATAAATTGGGCGATTTATAATGATAAATGTGATGCAGACGTAGTCGCGCGTGTCAGCTAGTAATAAATACACAATTAATACAATTAGCACAGCGCCATCTAGTCCTACCGTAAACACTTATGGGTTTTAGACAACTGATATAAATACTTAGATTTTTTTCTTTATAAATACATACATAACATACATAGAAAACAACCTGACCGATACAAAGAATCATACATACTCATGAATGTTTGCACCGTGCGAGTAATCGAACCCGCGACCATCGGAAGTTCAGCGCTGTACTAAGTCGCTAGACCACTAAACATTTAGCTTTGTAATATAAAAATGGTATAATAACCCAGTTTAGCCTATTAATCGTACGTATCCGTAGTACGTACGTATTTCGTAGATCAAAATCTGGTACAAACTTGTACAAAAATGAAAAACTCTTCGTCGGACCAGTAACGGTAGTAGAAAAAATTGCAGCCACCTATCTCGTCCTCGAACGGTTGGCATCCCTGCTAATAGTCCATGCACACTACGTGCGTTGCGAACCAATAAATGAGTCAAGAAACAATGAAAACAATATTTATTGGCTGTTGATAAGTATATAACATTAAAGAAAAAAAGAAAAGTATAATAAATAACGGTTTAGTACACCGTCTTCGATTCACTTTCTCGTACAGTACAAATATTTGTATTCATGAGTATGATTGTTTGTGTTTGTCTGGGTGTTTTCTATGTATTTAGAAAAAAAATGTACCTATGTATTTATATCAATTGTAAACGTAACACAAACTCTGCTCATCTTGGGACTGGATGGCGCTGTGTGAATTATCCTGAGATATTACTACAATTTTTCTCTGCACAACCTGTGGTTGACTGGCAGAAAATGCCGTAAGGCGTTAAGTGCCGTCATATGTACTTTTACCTAAGTATTTTGTGCATTGAAGTTATATAAATAAATAAATAAATAATAATTATTATTATTATAAATTCATTTACTGAAATTACAAAATAACAGACGACAAACGAACTCTATGAACCTATTGTTCTTCTTTTATTATATTCCAATTGTTTGTATTTTCGTTTGTTCTATTCTATTGTTCTTGTTCTTTTTTGTCAATATTATCGAAAATGATATCGATGAATTACATTAGTGGGAAAATATCGATGTTATATGTAGTAAAATAATCATGTTTTTCTATTTATTGCATTTGTAAAGTTTTAAGATGAGTTTTTTCAGACCTGGTGGACCAGGATAAACAATCTCATCGCGATGGAAAATTGCGTGACCCGACAACCCAGGACAGAAAGAAAGCCAACCCCACAAAATGTGGGAAAGTGCAAAAAAGAAGAAGAAGACCAAGCAAAGTGAATACGTAAGGAGAAATAGAGTAGCCCCTTTACCTTTCAGTGTTCTAAATCTATCTGTTTCGTTTGCGATATTTCATTTTTGTGTCCTTATTTTTTTGTCGATGTAATTTGTTTTCTTTTTTTATACCACGTAGGTGGCAAACAAGCATACGGCCCATATGATGGTAAACGGTTACCGTAGCCTATGGACGCCTGAAACACCAGGGGTATCACGCGTTGCCGACCCTTAAGAAACCTTACTATACCCTTCTTGAAAACCCCATGCTGTAGTCTCTCGAGAAAACCTCGGCAGGTAGTTCATTCCACAATCTAAGTGTAATCATGTTATCGAGAACCTAACATCGATGATTCTTACTAAACATCGATATTTATTCGACATCTGTCGTCGATGCACTGTTCTAGAAGTCCGAGCCGCACACTGTGCCAAACACCCATATTTCCCGAAATAGGAGATCTCACGCAATGCCTATATCGTAAGGGAAATTGAATGCCATCGAATACCATTAGGGATTTGAGCGAATGTCGTGTAATATATACGAGAGCGTGCAAAATTGCCGCACTAAATAAAATGCTTTGGCATGAAACGGATATGAGATGGGATTTATTTATTTTATTAATATTACACTGTTTTGATATCCCCGAAATTGGGAATGGATGCTATAAGGATGCTGAATACTTTTATTATCATTCACCATAATCCTAATTCGTTTTGTGAGCCGATTTCCAAAAAATAAAGTTTTTAGTACAATCAAAATACTTTGACAATGAAAAATAGTTTAATTATCTTCTAGATTACAAAAACTTAATTATAAAAATTAGATGTACATAGATTTCTTTCTTCGATAGATTTTCAGCTTTTTGGAACAACAGTAACTGAAGCAATAGAATTGGGATTAAAATAGCAAATAAATCGTATACTTCAAATATAGGATTTGTTTGATAATCATTAATTCATTGTAATAATGATTTAATAATTTGATAATCACGTTTTGATTTACGGTATGGCCTCCTTATTGTATTTATGATGTTTCAATGTAATTTTTATCTTTTCTATATATAGTGTAAATAAAAGTAAATTTTAGTTATCTAAAATTAAAATGTGATATCGTATAATCTGAGGCCTCTCCTAAGATGGTAACAAGGGTGATGTTATTCATAGAGAACTCATTTTTTACAAGAAGGCCCACACACCTGCAACACCTATACAATGTCACAGTTTGTAGTCCACCAACCCTTAATGTGTAACTTTATTTTACTACGATGGTGGGAATCAATCATACAGCACATCTGATGGTCACCGTAATCTTCCACAGACTACGGACGCTTGAGACACTAAGGGTGTTACGTGCGCTTGCTGACCCAAAATTATTATTAAATCTAAACTTGTATACATGGCAGTTTATTAAAATTGGACACCGAGACGTACGTTATGTCACTACTATTAGTGGTGTCACGGCATATGCTGAGTGTCGGCCATGTTCCCAACCAAAATCTCTTATATGAAATGTGTAATTGTTATGTGTATATCAGTGTGCGTGTATATATAGCGTATATATGCCATTTCCATTGCATGCACATACACCTATATGTATATATATACATATAGGTGTATGTGCATGCAATGGTTGTCAATAAATATTTTTCTTTCTTCCTTTCTTTACATTATTATTATTAATTGATGTTCCCTCACTTATAATTTCAGTTAGTTTGGAACTGCCATTTCGCAGACGAATTTCTTCATGCTATTGCAGTCTGCAGACAACGTGTACAAATTACTGTTTCGATTGGAAATGACTCCACACATTCCATTTTCATCGCTGTAACGATTGAAAAAATTCTCCGAAACTTTGGAACCTGAAAAATATTGAATAATATTAATATAAGAGAATTCATCACAAGAAGAATGAGCAAGAAACTTGTGTGTTGCTCTTTTTAATAGATGTTTCTTTTTTATATAAATAATTACAATATAACAAGTAAGAGGCATGCGATAATCAACATAGAAGTCGCTACGCACTCATTATTAATGTAATCAGATAATATTGTCAGTGCTATAGATTTAAAGTTTTACTATAAAAACATTATTATCGTTAACGAATTCTTCAATTTTATAGTAAGCTTTTTTGCAAAGGAACTGTTTTTTTTTGACATTTAAATCTTTTTTCTGGCAGATTTATAACAGACTCTGGTATTTTATTGTAAAACCTTACGCAATTACCATAAAACGAATTACTAACTTTAGCCAAACGACATTTAGGTAAAATCAGTTTGTTATTGTTACGTAAGCTTTTATTAGTGCAGTCACTAACTCTTTTGAAACTGTCTATATTCCTTCTGGCATAGATGATATTTTCATAAATGTATTGAGAAGCAACGGTGAGGATATTTGATTCTTTAAAACACTCTCGCAATGACTCCCTGGAACCCATACCATAAATGGAGCGAATGGCCCTCTTTTGTAAAGTAAATATTGTATTTATATCAGCTGCTTTGCCCCATAACAAAATACCATACGACATAATGCTATGGAAATAGCTAAAATAGACAAGTTTAGCCGTTGCCACGTCTGTTAATTGTCTAATTCTTCTTACCGCATAAGCGGCAGAACTAAGTCGACTCGCCAATTTAGTAATATGAGCACCCCATTGCAACTTGGAATCTAATGTGATACCTAGAAATACAGTATCGTCAATAAAATTAATAGATTTATTGTCCAATACGATTTTTGAATCTACCGGCCTTACATTGGGGAGAGTAAATTTGATACATTTAGTTTTATTTGCATTTAGTAGCATATTATTTGCCGTAAATCATTTTAAAACATAAGAGAGAGAACCGTTACTACGTCCATATCATCAATATGTCGATTGACTTTGAATACTAATGAAGTATCATCAGCAAACAGAACTATGTCAGCTATCTTTTCTACCATATAAAGAAGATCGTTAATGTAAACTAAAAATAAGAAAGTACTTAGAATAGGACCCTGAGGAACACCCATTTTAACACTAGTTCCCTCAGACTTTACACCATTTATTTCAACAACTTGCATTCTATTATTTAGATAGGATTTCATCATGCATAGTGCTTCATATCTAATACCGTATTGTTCTAATTTGAGTAAGAGTATTTCATGATCAACGCAATCATTGACTAAGGTGTCACAATAGAAATTAACGAAACTTTTCGATAATTTCTCGTAAGACATTCCACATTCAATTGTACTTGAGCGATAACTCTATTAAAATCAAGATAACCGAGATATCGTAAAGGGCGAAATGTAAAATTCTCCGTATATTTTATGTATTTAGTTTTTTTTTTTTTTTCAAACAACTTGAGAAATGAGTATCAATAATTCTCCAAACTTGAGAAATAAAATATACCAAAAAATCCAAAAAGCTAACTATACTTCTTACCTTTAAGAGTATAGGAATGAAGACAATATTTTAAGGAAGGTGTTTGTTACATATGAATAAATGTAGAGGAATGCCGAAAAATAGATGGATGGATTGTGTGAAAGATTATGTGGCAAGAAAGGGAGTAAATAACGAGATGACTGCGAACAGAGATGAATGGAAGAGTGAAACATTAATATGTTTAAAACATTATACGCCGACCCTAGGTAAAGGATAAGGAAGAAGTAAGGGATAAGGAAGAAGCGAAGATGACTTACCTTTAAGAGTATAAAAATCGCTGTCTGGCATGATTTTTCTAAATCCGGAAAAATACAAATCTGAATCTAAAAATGATTGCACAATCTGTGCTTCGGTGATGCTTTCGACGACTACGAGTAGACCACCTTCCATGAAACAAGTCTGCGATGCTTTCCACCAAGTTTGTGAATGCTGATTTACTTTATAACATTTCCTCGTCTCCTTGTAGTAGATATAAGCTGTGAAATATTGCAGAGAAAATCAAATGTTAACGTTGTCTCTGGGGAGGAATGGGATTGGTAATGTGGATTAATGAACCCATTGCTAGCAATGTACCAGGCCAGGTTGACCTCTTTTCCAAGGGAAACCATCGGGATAAGTTCCTTGTAATTTGACACGTTGAGCTAAGTGACCTGACCTTCATGTTCATCCTGTCATATTCCACTGGTGCCCCGTTAGCGCAGGCGGGAGTAACATTTCAACATCATCCATTGAAAAAAAGATTGACGACATTTTACAGTATTGCTCTGATTTACAAGGCATTGTTATTAAAATTTGTAGGAGACAAGATTCTAAACGGGACATTTGTATCCTAGAAATCTTGGCTCTCATTCCAGATTCATTGTGGTGACAATATTTACCATCAACGGCAACATTCGCCAGCGTGCTCCGCTAAAGCATATTTCAGTGACTACAACGCCATCTAATATGAGTGAGATAACCACCACAATATATTTTCAATTAATTAATATAATTTATGCTTATGAATTTGAAGTAAAGATTAAATCTAATTATAATTATGATATAAATGTATAAAATGTAAGTTTGACGTGTTTATTTTTGAGTACAAAATATAAGTTCTGATATGACCATAATAGCCCTACCTACCTACTGACTTTAAAAATAGAACCACTATATTGTGTGGACAGTCCAGGTTAAACACTCGAAGTGAAAAAAAAAACATAAAGAGGAAAAAGGAATTAAAACTTCGTTGCTGCTGCCGCCCCGTAACACTAAATAATGACAGTAACTTACAATGATCGATGGTAGGACAGTATACGTCCTCTACTTTCTTACAAACGAACCCCTTCGGGCTGTCATCCGGATGTGTGAAGCAGTGGTCAGTTCTGAGATCGCCAGATTCTATGTCCATGGTAACACATAATTCTTCATTTGTTACTTGTAGCTCGTTTTGTAAAGACGACGGTGTTGATTGACCTGAAAATGAAATTGGGATAGTGCCCACTAAAATCGTGCTCTAATTCTCCTCAATAAAGATTTTTTTGGTTGTAATAGATAAAGACAACATTTTAAATGAAATCACAACACATAAGTGAAAAACGAACTCGAATCGGTTGAGCTGCTTTTGAGATTAGTGCACACAAAATCACAATTAGTCAAATTTATATCTGACCCTTATGAACAGAAGATATTCTAATTAGAATTTTATACCGCGAGATGGTGAAACTCTTGACATTGTCAGTATAATACCAAATAAATACCTTTATAATCCTTACTAATATTATAAATGTGAAAGTGTCTGTCTGTCTATCTATCTTGCTTTCCGCCAAAATTATTAAACCGACTTAAATGAAATTTGGTATGCAGATAGTCTAGAGCCTTAGAAAGGACATAGGTTACTTTAAATGTGAAAAAGAGTTATAAGGGGGTTAAAAGGGAAGATGAAAGATTGTATAGAAGAGTCGTCAACGCTAGATGTTTGAAACTTATTTATTTTTTAGGCTGTTGATTAAATATAAATAAAGGAAAAGGGTAGTTAAGTGAAAGGGAGATGAAGGATTGTACAGGATTATCGTCAATTTTAAGGTTAGAAGCCTGAATCTTATTTTTTAGGTTTAGGCCGTTGATTGAGTTGTATGGAATTCTGTATAGAAATTGGTAATTTTTGAAACCCGAATGATGAACTTTTATCTTTGGTTATTGTTGGGTTAGTTTTAGTCAAGGTCACTATTTTACGTGGACGAAATCGCGGGTACACCTAATTCACTATAATTTATTTACACTGCGGATTCAGCCGACTTTTATTATTGTGTGTATCTTCAAATCCTGCCCACCCCAGGGCTGACGAGGGAGTGCGTAGGATTCTTATTCAATAAAAAACCACACGGTATGTCTATTATTATAACTTATATCTGTGCGAAGCGAACCCACTTGTGCGAAGCCGGGGCGAGTAGCTAGTACACATATATAGTTAACCAGTACTAACCATTAACAGTAAGAAATTCCCCAATACTATCCTTATGTATTCCAACATATATATCTGTAATATTATACATTTCTAGAGCAGACTCAGTCAAGTTGGTCACGATGGTCCATTCGTCAGGTTTTTCTGGATAAAACAGCTGGGAGCTTTCTTGGTCGCATGTGAAGAATGCGTCGTTCCATGAGGAAACTCCGTTTGGTAGCAAATGTAATTTATAATGGGCATCGAAGTTTGGATAGTATTTGTAGTCTTTCCTGTAGAATTGGATATTGCTGCATGATGCTGATGCTGCAGCTGGAATTAGAAACTAATCATAATTATTTATAGAATAAAATAGAAATAATCTTTATTAAATAAACTCAATACAAGTAGTTTTGAAGTTATATTTTTTTATTTTACCATTCATTCGGAACGTAGCTTCATCATAAGAAGAATGAACAAGAACAACAAAACTTGTGTGTTGCTCTTTCGAATAGATGTTTTTTTTATATAAATAATTACACAATAACCAGTAAAAGTGAGGCAAAAATCAAAATAGAAACTGCTACGCATTCATTCTTAGTGCAATCAGATAATTTTCAGATCAGATCGAATCTATTTTGACGGAACTGTCACTCACAGATATCTAATGATATAAGAAGCAATTTTGGTAACGATTATTTTAGTTTTTATTTAACTTTATAAAACACGGACGATGTCGCGGGCACCAGCTAGTCGTTTTCTAAATAGTAGAGTATTGCTGTAACGATCACAAGAAAACCGACACTAACTAGAATATTCTATCCTAATGGTAAAATATTTGACGTACCATAATGTCTTTTACAATTATTTTTTAATGAAACAATGAAATACAATACCAATTAAATAAGTTATATTATTTTAACTGAATGGTCTAAAGTTTATTGCAAACAATCAAAAGTGGCAGTTCCAGAAACAAACCATCGATTGACAAAACGCCTACTAAATCTTGAAAGGCATAACCTCAAAATAATGATAGGGACAATAACGGGCCATATTTCTTAAACAAACACCTGTACACAATAGTGCTACAGACAGTTCCCTTTGTCGGGACTGCTTTGAATCAGAAGAAACGGCTGGTCATGTAATCCTGGAGTGCTTTCAGTGGCCACACAACGAAAACAAATCTTCGGAATGGTGAGGTCGCTCCGTGAAGCCTATGAAGATACAAGGAGACTTCTGCGCTTTTGGGAGGAGCTTGGCTGCCTACTCTAGTAATCTCTGCTCAAACGTATAATGGTTCAAACTAGAGGCTGATTGCGGAAAATAGAGTCCAACTTACATGGCCAAAACTTGATTTGATACCATACAAAGTGGTAATATGATCTTATGACTCCTGTAGTATCACTTATACGTTGCCCTTCCTGAGAGCTAAAGTATTATATATACATGTAATTTACTGTAACTGAAATAACATATGCTTAATGGCTAAAATACTCACGATTTTGTACACAGCTAGCTGTAAAAACGAACAAGCAAATAGTGATAGAATAAATTTCTTACCTAATACCCATATCAATAATTTCAACTGCATAGTGAAGTACACCCCACACTACAGAACAGGGAAATAAAGGAGTCACCAGTGTTCCATATTATTATATTATGAATGAGGACAAAAGTTTATATACAGCTTGATGATCTATTTATATTGTACTAGCTACCCACCGCGGTTTCGCACGGGTGTACATGTATTATACATATAAACCTTCCTCTTGAATCACTCGATCTATTTAAAACTGCTTTAAAATCCGTTGCGTAGTTTTAAAGATTTAAGCATATATAGGGACGGACAGATAGCGACAGCGACAGCGACTTTGTTTTATACTATGTAATGATAATGATTTTTTCTTATTGAGGTTTTGGACTATTATTGTCAGTTAGTGAGAACTGTAGCGCTGCGAACTACGTGATCTATCTTACTCGCCCTATTTTTGAAAGTTCGCTACCTAGGCCCGTTAGGCACAAAAATTGAAGGATATTCTTACGAGTGATGATTTTATCTCCTTAGGGTATAGTGTAGTTTGGCAAGTACAAAGGAAATATTTCGCTTATGCATAGAAATGGTCTACAACCACATAGTATGTGTAGTGGTGTATTCTCCTCTGCTTGGCAAATTGCAGCTTGTTGTTATGTTAAGGCCTAATTGTGCCATGTATTTAATCTATTTGCAGTGTCCAGTGAAGTGCCCTAGTCATGATGCATATATTGCTTTTACTCAAAAGCAAGTGGCCTCACCACTTCTGTTGTCTACCAGTAATAATATACCATGAGTGGGCTGTACATGATAACGTGATATCCGTGATTACCACTTCCATCAGATGTTATCAGATTGTTTGTGTTATAGTAATAAGAAAAAGGACTAGGTAAACGGAGAAAATATATTAATATAGACTACTGACAATTAGGAATAGAAAGAAGGAATAGAATGTATCAAAAACAAGAATGTAATATAAAAGAACTATAAATTCAAATACAAATTTAGAATATAAAATACATATCTGATTAGCCAGTTACAACAGTTGTCATTATAATTATATAAAAAAATATACACATCATCCTGTATCTTGTCTTGTGATACAAAGAAACTGTCTGTAGAAGCGTATTCAATAAAGATAAGAAGTCAAAGGTCTGCTATATTGTTAAGATAAACATGAAACACAATTATAGGACTAAATAATGAACTAATTCTTTATTGTTTTATGACAGAGTAATACTTAGTTTTTGTAGGGTAATTAATATATTATATCCTTAACAAGTACATCATTATTATCATCATCATCTCAGCCCGGAAGACGTCCACTGCTGAACAAAGGCCTTCCTCAAAGATCTCCACGACGATCAGTCCTACGCTGCTCACATCCATCGCCTTCCAGCGATCTTGACCAGATCGTCGGTCCACCTTGTTGGAGCCTTTCCCACGCTGTAACAAGTACATAATATATTTTTTATTATAATAACGATATGAAAAATGTTTGTATTAAAACTTGTGTTCATTTTTACACAAACTGTATGTATAGTAAAAATGGCAACTTTCTTAGCGTTCCAGTGGCAGGGAGGGATTTTTTTTATTAGGGGGTTTAGGATATTTTGAGTGCTTGAACCTGTACCACTGCGACCTTCTGTCTTAACACCTGAAAATAGCCCGTATAAAAAGAAAATACCCCATAACCCCGAATTCGGTTATGACGTCAAAGTCAGTCTTATTTATTTCTTGAACTATAATATGTAAGTAGAATAAAGAAGTATAGAAGTATAAAGTTACTAGGTGTATGCAGAAATTGAGAAACTTTCCGATATCCCTCGATCAACGCACAATATTATGCTGGGGAGCTGCTTGAAAAAATCAAATAAATTCGCATCTGTTACAGGGTGTTGCCGTTAAATGAATAAGGTAATTTAGGAAGGGATCAGACAAAGATCAATAATATTGCAGGAACTGTCGATTTTAAAATTTAATTTAAATATTTCATTAAAGCGATGTAATTACTTATAATAATGTATAACAATATATGTATTTATATCGTTTGCCAATTCCAGAAACAAACCATCCATTGATGAAATGCCTACTGAATCTGGATAGGCATAACCTCAAAATAATGATAGGGACAATAACGGGCCACTGTCCCTTAAACAAACACCTGTAAACAATGGGTGCTAACCCCCTACCCACAATAGGTAAAACCCCTTTTATCGGGGCTGTTTTGAAGCCGAAGAAATGACTGCTCACGCAATCCTGCACAGTAGCAGTGCGTAGCAGTAACCACACAACGAAAACAAATCCTCAGAACAGTGAGGCCGCTCCGTGAAGCCTGTGAAGACACCAAGAAACTTCTGTGTTTTTGGGAGGAGCTTGGCTGTCTACTCTAGTAGTCTTGGCTCTACACGTATAATGAGGGGCTGATTGCGGAAAAAGGAGTCTAAATTGCATATGTCGATGTGGAAGCTCGTTTCTAAATTGCATATGTCGACATATGTAATTTAGAGGCATACTAAAGAAATCTCTCTACAATCTTCTAAAAGATCGTGTATCTAAAATTATATCTAAGGCTTCTACCAGATATGGCTGGTCAGGGCGAGAAACACTAGCGGTGAAGGTGCGTCTTGATGTATGACAGCAAGAGCCTTAAATTTATTTTCACCATTGGTATCCTACGGTATTTCTGATTCTCCTTCTCTAAAGAATATTTTCAAAGACGTTATGAAAAAAGTATCATAATATTTATATCACGAACATTGCGGAAATTATTTACAATAGAGCAAAGTGATGTACTACAGTTTTATAGAGGTCATTAATATCGAAGAAATGTATAATTATAGATATTTTCGATAAATGAAGCCCTTGCGAAGCCGGGGCGATCTAACAGTATTTCATAAGTCACTTCTCAAAATTTTTAATCTTTGCAATTTTAGGGTGTGGGTTTATTGAACCGACATCTGGTGTCGTTAGCATAGGTAATATCTTTTTGTTGATCGCAGTTAGTTAAAAAGGAACCTTTTTATTTGGAAATTTAACTAAAACAATTCATTACAATAATAATAAAAAAATCTCAGGACATATCACAAAGCGCCGCACCGCACCGTCTAGTTTCAGGCTAAGCAAAACTGGTGTTTTGGTTTATTATTGATAGAAATACTTCAATTAATTTCATTTCGAAATACTGTGTTAATACTCACCAAGACAAAGATACAAATACTTACATCGTGTGAGTAATCGAATCCGCGACCATCTGAAGTAAGGCGATGTACTAAACCGTTAGACGACCGCGGTTTTTTTTCTTATGAATGATTATGGAATGGTCCACCAGCTGAGTTAACAGTTTACGCTGACGAGATATCAGTGAAGGATGATAAACAACGCGCTTGTGGTTCACCTGATGGTAAGTGAATATCGCCGTCCATGAGCACCCGCAACACCAGGAGATTTGCTAGTGCGTTGTTGGCGTTCTTAAAAGGAATTAGCTCTTTGGTTCGGAAATACCATTGCAAAAGTTTCTAGAAAACCGCACTGTGAAGGACCGCCATTCATCCAGATGATCAGGATGGTATATTTGTTTCTGGCGGGTGGTATGATGAAATTCAGCAGCTTGTATTAATTCGAACCATTCCTGAGAACACTCACCGTGATATATGCGTTAAAATGCCATATCTCGCCGATGGGACGAGTCTGTCACAAAGACGTTGATAACCAATGATTCTGGTTGCTCGGTTCTGAATGCGGTCAAATAGAGTAGCTGATATTGTGGTGCTCAGAGATGAGAACAGTATTCCATATGTGGCTGGATGCCTTGTAATTGCAAGCGAATTTGAACCTGACATTATACATTGGCTATTAGTCCACATTACTAATAATCCCATCCCCCTGAGGTTGTCGTAACCATTCGTTCAACGAAGAGTGTTATGCTGGGATAGTTTATATCCACCTTAACACTATTTTGCTGCAGTGCGCTGCAATATTATTACAAGGCGCAGAGCGAAGCGTGCATGCTTGTTTAACAGAGAAATTTAAGAATAGAAAATCTTAAATTTCCCAGTGGACTGTTTTGCACGAATTCATATAACAGGCTACTCTAGCCATGGTATTATATTATTTGTTTATTTAGGCTTTCAGATATATTCATTTCGTCCGATTTTGTTGTGTATTGCTGAAGATGTCTAGCACCTATTGATTCTAAATCGAGCAGAAAGGGAGCTATATAATGCGAAAGGGTTGAAAGTGGAAATGAAGGGTTGTATGGAATTATCATCGTCCAACTTTAAAAGCTGGAAGTTTGAAACTAATTTTAGACCCTTGATTATATATAAACAAATATTACATTCAAAGATTATACAGATTTTACTCTTAAGGGGGGTGAAATGAAATAGGGCCTGAAAATTTTTTATAGAAATTCGTAATTTTTGAAGGTAGAAAAGAAAGAATTTTTTTTCATCCCATCGCTTCTCCCTTGTAAAGTTTAATTGAAACACACAGAATGTCAGATAATGACTGTTTAATAAAAGTATTATATTTAGTGCAGAAATGTATAGCCCATATGACTAATCTGTGCAGGAGACGGATATATAATACTTTCTCTTTCTTTTTCTGGTTCTCTCCCTTGTGTGTGTCTTTGTACTGTGTGACATGTGTTTTGTTCAAGTAAATAAATTCTGTACGTAAATTATATAAAAACTAAATATTTTTTAACTGCTTAATAATAACAAAAAGTAATCCGAACTACCTTCGAGTATCGTATAAATATATCATACTGTATCACTTTTCATGTTTTGGGTTAGATTTTTAATTTTTTTTTTCTTTATTTAGTTAAGGTCACTATTCCACGCGGATGAAGTCGGAGGCACATCTAGTGACTTCATATAAAGAAGAAAGCTTGATGGATCACCGCATAATATATAATAATATAATAATCTCAGTACAATTCACACAGCGTCATCTAGACCCAAGTCAAGCTAGCTAAAGCTATGGGTACTAGATGACTGATACAAATACAAAGATATATTTTTCGGAAAATCATACATACATAAATATTATACATAGATATAAAACACCCAGATCGATACAAACAATCGTACTCATGAATACAAATGTTTGTGCCGTGCGAGGAATCGAACCCGCGACCA